CACCTGGCACTTTTTTCCCCTTGGGGAATGACTACTGCATTAGTGGTCCTCTTCCAACTCAAGACGGACAGAAAGCAAGAGCTTCAGGTTAGGCAGAAAACCTTCGGCATCTCTGCAGATCAGCACTGCACCAGGCTTGAGTCCCAGCCTGCAGAACTGACCTGCTCCAAACCCTTCCCCCTCCCATCTGTCAAGATTCATGTGGCGTCAGTTTGGGCCCCGACTTTTGGCCCGCCTTGACCTCCTCCGCAACGCCCGGGCAAAGACAAAGGCTCGTCCCAAGATGCCCTGTCCTTCCCTTCGGACCTTGCTCAGGAGTTCACCCAGCAAGCCACCAAACACCCGTGTGCTTCACAGCACCAGGCCAAGTGGCTTCCTTCCCTGCCACTTGTTCCCGGGCCAAAGATGGCATTGCCCATGACTTTCAGGACCTGCACTCGGCAGGCTCCTCTCACAAGCTCCCGGCCTGACAGGGCCCAGCAACTGGCACCAGCCTGCCCCTGCAGTGCCCAGAGTCAGGTTTTCTTGTCTTGCTTTTCCAGGACTCCAAGTCAACCTGGGACCATGCGTCACCCTCAATGTCCTGAAAGTTGTGGACCTGAAGTACTGCAACAGCAATGGCCAGAGTGACCAGGTTTGAAAATCTTACCCTTCTCCACCTGAGGGCGGGGGCCGCCCAAAGCCAAGCCCCACGTCCTTCTGGCCCGGCATCTCCTCTTTGGAGAGCTTCTTTCTTGGGGATGGAGAGACTGAAAACACAGCAGGGGGTGACCAGAGCTTTCCCTTCAAGACCTTGAGCGTGCATTCCTTCTGGCTACTTCTCTTGCACGCCTCAAGCTCTAAAGGCACCACACGGCAGCTGAAGGCAGGCAAAGAATTCTTGCGGCTACTGCCCAACTTTGCCACAGCCTTGATCTTTTGTCTTTGGGATAATCCTCAGCTCACTGCTGGCGCTCCCTGCGGGCAGTACTTCTTCTATTCTAGTCAGGAATTTTTTTTAAAGGCTTTGTGTTGACATCTGATTAATTTTACTGTTTAAAAATATTTCATGTGGTTTAGCAATCTCAGCAGACGGATAATGACCATGACATCATCTTTGGTGGTGATGGCCAGATTTCCTTTGGTGGGGGAGACTCCCATATCTCCATCTCTGGTGTCTCGCAAAGCATTAACATCAACAGCCAAACACAAGAAGCAATTATCGAGCAAAAGAGCAAGAGTTTGTCATGGAAAAGCATCTGGAACTACAACACGGTGAGTGGCAGGGAGCACGCTTTGCCGGGCACTGTGCGAGGAGGTTGCCTCCTGCTCCAGCTGACCAAGGCACGGGGCTTTTTGCTGTCTTCTTAACTTTCTGGGTCCACAAGTTGGGATAGAAACTATGGACATTCCTTCCTGGTTTTAATCCAGACTTTATCCCAGATTTTCCCAGTTGCAAAACTAAACGGCCAGTGCTCAATAACTTTCTCTTTCCAGGGCGTCATTGCAACCAAAGTCCCGCAACAGAACGCCTGCTACATTTCCGTCATGAACAGAACCGAGATGCCCAGCTTTGATTCTCTTGTGAAAGTGGCTGCACAGGGCGGGGTAAGAGTATAATGGAGCAATCACTTGGCATATTGTACAGTAATTCAAAGTAAAGTGATGTCCAATATTTTTCTTTCAAAAGTTTCTAATGCATCAGGCCTTTAAAAGCCATTTTGATGACACCATTGATAACACAGTTCTATTTATTTCAATGATATTTTATTCTTATGTCATTTTAGACTTCTCTATAATTAGAATACCCTTATTCTGATGTTTTTAGAGGAGTTTTTTCACGTTATATTACAGATATTTTAGGGAATTTTTACATTGTTTTCAATTAATATTTATATTGCCTGCTTTTTCATTCTCACATATGGTCCAAGACTTTAAATTTTTCATAAGGTAGTCTTTATAATCTCCCATTCTTTGCACACTGAAAAATTTATTCTTTTGAGGAGATCTTGTTTGTTAAAAACAAATATTCTAATAAGCAGGAAAATTTTAAATAAGCTCTCAAAACAACTTTGAATAACTAAGCAACATATTAGCACTATTTCAGCCCATTGAAATAGCACAGACATTTAAAAAATTATCTCAGCTTTCAGCACACTCACCACTGGTAGACACTGGCTTACCCTGAAGTTGGAGAACTGAGTCCTTAAAAATCATGCCTTTAAAGGTCTAGAAGGCCCGGTGGGCAAGAAAAAAGGAAGACTGAACCAAGTACAGGCTTGAGCAAAAATATCCAGCTTTAACTACATTTTCACGATTGCTTGTCCTAAGGTGCATCTCTGAGCCTCCTGTAGCTGACTTCAACTTCTAACTTAGCAGTGAGAAGGAAACACAATGCAATGGGCTTTCCAAAACCCTTTGATCAAATTCCACTCAAATTTGGAAGGCCTCTAAGAATCCCAGCCATCCCTGCCAAGTGTGTCTTTCCACTGGAGTCCATTGGGCCCTTTCTTAACTGTGCTTTTTGCTGCTGGAGAGGAGCAGCTTGTCCCAC